CCCCGGGCCTGTCTGCCCCATGCCTGCTCCTGGGGGCACTGGACAGAGTGGGTAGGCATGTGCGGTTTCTGTGGAGACCAGCCCAGGACTCCTGTGGGCAGGGTGCACTCAGCTGGGCAGATGGGAAGGGGCTGCAGGTGGTCAAGGGGTGGTGCCTAGGAGTGGAGCAGACCGGCAGGGGCCAAAATCATGGGGTGGGTGACAGCTCGGGACTGGGGCAGAACTGCAAGCTGCTCCCTGTTTGTGTGGGGGTTGTGTCCTGCGCCCTAGGCCTGTGTTGTCATCATCTTGCGATCCTGGCCCCCACCCCACTGTCCTGCTCCCGGGCCCTGCTCCCTCATGGCCCCATCCCATCCTGCTGGCTGAAGGTGACCTGCCTGCAAAGGTCTCGGGCTGATCTCCATGGAGACCCTTCTCACCCACTCCATCCAATGCCTCTGGTGGGCAGTGAGGGGTGGATGAGCCAGGGTGCCTGGGCAACAGGGCTGGGTCCTGCAGTTGCAGAGATGCTGGCACTGGTAGGCAGTAGGGGTGCACTGACAAAGATTTTTTTTTTTTTGACTGATACCGATAGCCAATTATTAACCAGCCATATCAGCCAATACCGAGCTGATAGGCGATATGCAGCCCAGCAGCTCGGAGAGCAGTGTCTGGCTGGTAAATTTGTTGGGGGTTAAGGAGCATAGGGCGGCAGATAGACATCCCCACAGCGAGGGAAGTAATGAGGCTGGGGCAGGGGAGGAGCTGCCCAGCCGGGGCAAGATGGGGTGTGGGATGGAGCCACGGGCAGGTCATCCACAGGATGTGGGGGAATGAGAAGGGGGAGTGGCTCCCTGCTGCTATGCGCACCATTGGAGGAGGCATGGGGGGCATGTGGCCCCCCCGGTTTTGTGTGTGGGGCGAGGGCAGGCTGCCCTGCAGGCTCAGACCCAGGGACTGAGCCAGCTTCTTCCCAGTGGGGGTGCTGAGCCAGGGCTGCTCTCAGGGCAGGGTGGACAGCAGTGGCACTGGGAGCGGGGCTATGGGGGTAAGCTACAGCCACCCCAAAATTCTCCATAGTCCCCCATAGCCATCCTTCCCAGTGCTACTGCCCATCCTGTCCCCACCCACCCTGAGCACAGCCCCAGCCTAGCCCTCCCACTGGGAAGGGGCCAGTGCAGCCTCTGGCTCCGATCCCACAGCAGGCAGCCTGCCCTCGCCCCATGCACAAATCGGGGGGCATGTGGCCCCCATGTCTTCTCCAGGGGGGTTGCGCAGCAGTGGGGAGTCACCCCGCCCTGCCCTGACTGGGCAATGCCTGCTCTGGCCTCAGCCCCACTCCCTCCCTCATCATGAGGGCCTCGATCTGCCCCACCCATGCTCCTTCTTTCCCACACAGACTTACCAGCCAAATGCTGCTCTCCAAGCTGCTGGGCTGCATTCCTAGCCATGTGCATGCTGTGACTGCGCATGTGTATGCGGCATTTTTTGGTGACATTATTGGCTACATCAGCCAAAAGAAGCTGATTGCTGATAATGTCAATTTTCATTTTATTGATGCTGATCCAATATAGACTGATATATTGGTGCACCTTTAGTAGCCAGGCAGAGTGAGCTGCCACCATCATGGGTGCTGCGAGGAACCAGAGTCTGGCTGCTGTGCTGCCCTCACCTCACTGCATACATAGGTGTGCATATGTGCGTATATGTGTGTGTGTATAAAGAGAGAGAAAGAGAGACCCTTGCATTTCCTCAAAAAATAGATGATTTGTTTCTCAGCATGACTAGTTAGCCTGGGCAGAATTCTGCACTAAATAAATTGCTGTTGTTACCTCAGCTGTCTTCAAAGCTATCTTAGATATGTCTCTATGACATTGCAGTATCTCATCTAGATGCACCGTATTTGTACACAGTTGTCCAGCCCTTGCCCAGTCCTGTTATTCATGCTAGATAGTGCAAAGAGGTTATCAGAGCCACAAAGTGTAAGAATGTGGTCCGGTGCCTGGGCAGCTGCTGTATACAGGGGTAACAGCAAAAGCTGTTTTTTGTTTTTGTCCCCTGTCCCTGTTGGCATCCAGGACGGTTACCTTTTCCACCCCATCTTAATTATGCCACTGCAAACCAAATCCCAGTGGCGTAATTAAGACTCCCAGGAGATGTAAAGATCCAACCTGCCTGTCAGCATTGGTTCCAATGATGTATAGTCAAGATACAGCAGTATCTTGTAATATTTAAGGTTAAGATAAAAAGAGTGTGTAGTGTTGTTTGGGAGCATATGATTTTTGTGGGCGCAACCTTTAACTTTGGTCTTTACTCTTTCAGCAGTCTCCAAATGTAGTTTTTCTTTCACTTATGACTTTGGCATAGCTTGAAAAAGATGGAGAAAACTTAAGTAGATGTTAATTTGAAAGAAGCACGACAAACTTAAGTGGTTTTTAAAACACTCCCTTCATTCATGCTTTACGTAACAAGGTCAAAATTTTGTTTCAGGAGTGAACACTAACATGATTTTATAATTATTATTATTTTAACAGGATGGGAAAAGAAGCTTCAGAATGCTGTTTACAGTGAACTCAATGTGTGAGTTTTCTATTCATTATTTTTATAATAAAGGTTTTATGTGTAAAGTTTCATTTTGAATCATGTGTTCTTATCTGTGTAGTATGTTGGTGTTATCCATTAATGTGCCTGTCATGTGAGGAGTGTCTAATGTGTTTCTGATTCACAGTTTCTTTTTCAGTTCATTTAAAAAAAAAAAAGAGCCAAGGACAGCAAATAAACATTTAAAAATATCTCATGAAATTAACTTTTAAAAAATTAGTTATTTATTAACATTGTAATCTGTTTTATTGGTTCATAGCCTGGGGCTTAAGGCAGTTTTCTGGGAAGTGGAATTATGGGTTCAAATCCTGGTGGGGGTGGGAAGTGTTTTTAATCCAGGTCTCCCATTTCCCAGGCAAATGCCCTATTTAATAAAGTCCTGGGCAAAAGGAGAATGGGGTCTTCTCTTCTTTCCTAAGATGGTGTTTTACAAAAGTAGGTTCAGTGACTGTGTGAAATAAGGTAATGCTTGGAGACCTAGTCGTTTAGAAGTCACCTCAGTGCCACTTTGGGTATGAACACACATAACACTTAGACTGGCTTCAGTGCAGTTTAAATCTGAAATGGCCATGCATAGAAGCCTGTTTAACTGGTTTAAAGCTGCCTGGAATGATTAAAAAAAATACCTGGAAAACCAGGTACTCTTTTGAACTGGTTCACAGAGTTTGTGCTACCTGTTGACACCAAGCTTACCATGTTGTAGGTCTGGTTGTTTCTCCAAGCATCCCACGCTGTATTGTTCCACAGCCGGAATTCTGCTGCCACCTTTTTTTACCTTTTGTTGGCACTTTTTATCAATGAGCTCCCTTTCTACTGCTTCTTCTTTAAAAGCTGTCTTTCTAACCACCAGCTGTGTCCTCATGCACCTCACTCACTCACCTACTTCATCTCACCCTTTCAAACATGGGTGCAAGCACTCCCCACCATCCCTCACTCCAAGGTATGCTGGACTGGGTCCTTATCCCTGCTCCCTGGTGCCAGAGCCACAGCACTTCAAGACCTAAAAGGTGACTGTTCTACCTGGTATGTGTGGACAGTGGACATCTCTTACCCTCAGCAGTTGTGAATTGGTTCCCAACCAATGTCATTCTGTAGCATCTTGAAACACTGTCTTGTTTCAGCTGTCAAGGCACTATGGTAATACAGATAAGGGACACAGAAGTAGAAACATGACTTGTGTCCTAGAACTTCAATGTTCTTTCCTCCATTGAAGTCATGATAAAAGTTATAGTACATTTGTAGGTATTTCTCTATGGGGACAACACTAGTTTCTTATTCAATGTTTTTTGCTTGCATTTCATTTGAATATACCTTGCATTCTGTTCAGCTGATTTGGTATTATCACTTGAATTTTTCCCAGTTTTATTGAGTTATTTTTTGGGCTATTTTTCTCATCTTTTAGGTAGCATTTCATAGAATTGTCTAGAAGTAGGGCTGTAAGGGGCCTCCAGAGGTCATCTAGTCCAGCCTCCTGCCTATGGCAGGTTCATCCCTATCCAAACCCAAATTCTTTAATACCTTTACATTTTAACTTTTTATTACTTTAGTAATGCATTTGCAGGATTTGATTGTTTATCGTATTTCTTCAGTATGTTCCTTGGTATTTGTAACTTATATTTTGTATTCTTTATTCCAACCAAATGCTCTTCTTTCAGCTTTTGTGTTTTACTGTTATGCATTTCATAGCTGAAGATTCCAGATCAGTTAGATAAATGCCCTGAAGCTTTACTGGCTACTTGTATATATGTTCAATAATGATTTGAAGTGTAAACTTATTAATTTAATGAATGACTTTATTGAAGAAATATTATTTCCTGAAAGGGAAAAAAATTCCAAATGGCTATAAAGATTAATTCTAAAGTGATTTTAATGATAAAGTTGTTTGATTTGTTTTAAATACTTGAAATGTTGCAACTTCTTTTGAACTTTCAATTTTATATTAACATTCTTGGCTAAAGCTTTGAATATTTATTTTGCATTTTTATTATACATCTGCAGTACTTCAGAGGATGAGAAGAATATGTTTTTTATGTGATGCTTTCCCGTTCTTCAAGTTTGTATTACTATACACAACATTATTATTCATGGTCCTCTCTGAAAAACAAAAAGTAGGCATATTTCAGCCATGTCTGAGATCTATAATGCTGTTAAGTGGTTTTTTTTTTCTGAATTAAGAGTATGCAGATAAATTATGGGCTTTTGCTAATCGATAACATTTTTTTAAGTTTAAAGTCTGATCAGGGGTTTAAAATGACTGCTGTATATGTTGTTATACTGTTTCTAAACATGATTAAAAATGAGGAGAAAAATAATGTTTAGACTTCCCTGAAGAGCAAGAGACATTTAATGAATTCAAATAATAATTTGAACATTTAAAACTTTTCTTTCAAGGTTCCCTTCTCCCTGTCATCCAGCAGCTCCCCCTGAGCAAATGAAGGAACCGTTAGCTTATATGAGGAAGGCACAGGTTGGTTGTTATCAATTTGACTGTTTTTTCATAAGAGTGTCCTAAGTTTATTAGGCAGATTTCTCTGGGACAATTTCATTATTTAGATTTGTATACACTTTAAAAAATAACTTAAAATTTTAGTTACTTACAGTCTAATAAAAATACATATGTATGGTATTTCATAATGGCAGCATTTGCGGGTATTGTTGAACCAGGGTGGGATACAGTACAGTGGCTATTAGAAGTTGCAAAATAGAGACTTATGGGAAATAGAATGTCTCACTGAGTAAGATTTGTTGTATCCTGAGAAGAAGTTTAGGAATATATATTGCTAATGAGGTGGGGGTTTGAAGAGAGGCATAGAGACCGTCACAGATAGTGGGGTCTAGAAAAGAAGGACAAATTATCTGGTATTGAGAAATGAAAAAAGGAGTTTGACAGGTGTGAGTAGAAGTCTAGAATTGGAGTAGCTAAGGAAGCATGTAGGGGAGAGAGAATTGGTCATAGACAGATAAATCTTGACTATTGGGAGAAGGAGAGAGAATATGTGACTTCATTTGTTTATTGGGCTGTCACCAGTAAATTCAATTGGAAAAACAGTCCACTCTAAAGAATAAGCAAAGGCATTACTCTCCTCCCAAATCACTCTCCTGTTGAGCTAAGAATACTAGTGTACTTGACTCAGGCCTGCCTTAGTGTGTATTATGACCAGGTTTGTCATAGACCTTGCCTTAGAGTGTATTAGGACCTTGGCCTGGTTTTTTCTGATAAAAAAAATCCAAAATTATCTGATTAAAACCCCTCCAAAATCCACATTTTTCTGCGGTTAAAATGCAGGACCACTATATAGGTATCAGTTGAACACAATGTTTTATTGATATATTTACAATTTTAAAGCAAATTGAAAGCCTACCAGTGCCTCAGTCATTACTAAAATAAATTCTAAATACCTATATGTTTTGACATTTGATTTCAGTTTTTTTTATCATGGAAAATCAGAGCTCCCCCTGCCCCCCTTGCTCATCCAGCTGCATCTGTCCCTTTTGCTGCTTTGTGGTGCTGAGCAGCCCTGTTATGCCAGTGCCACTGCCCCTGCCCCTGACATTGCCCTTTACTTCCAAGCCACAGCATCCAGTCCTGTCGGTGCCCCTCACTCCTGACCCTGTTCGTCCCCCCAGTCATGCCAATGTCCCTCACTTCTGGCCTGCAGCTCCCTGGCCCTGCTGGTGTCCCTCACTCCCAACCCACAGCCCCTTGTCCCACCCAGCCCAGCTGGAGGAGGCCCCCAGCTGCCTCCAGGCCCCCAATGTGTGGGGAAGTGGAGATATGTCTGAGGCAGGGGATATGTGGGCATAGGTCATACCATTGGTAACACATCATGGGGATTTTGGGGGGGGGGCTGTGTACCCCCAGATATGTGCTGATAGTGGGGCATGGGGCTGCAGCCCAGTGGGCAGGACCCAACTCAGAAGCAGTGGAATGGGAAGACTCAGTACTGCCACCACCAGGAGCCCCATGCCAGCCAAGTTGCCATGACTGGCATGGTGAAGAGCCTTCTGCCTGCCGCTGTTGCAGCCCTAATGCTGCCCCCACAATCCCTGCTGTGCCACTGCCCTCCAGGAAAGCCCTGGGGCTGCACGCATCATACGAGGGGCTGGCAGCAACCCCTCAGACCCAGTGCTGCCCATTCCAGCTGCTCTGGTGCTTCCTTAGGCTCAGCTAACCACATGCTGAGCCTTGTCTTAGGGCTGAGCTAGGCCCGGAGTGGCCCCAGTGCCATGTGTGAGAGGGGTATGGACGCAGCATACTGGGAGGAGGTTGCCTTGCTAGAACCAGATCCCTTTCTCCCAGGATGAGCTGGGGAAGGCCTGGCCCAGCAGCAGGGAGGAGCCTGCCAGGTTCAGGCTGCAGTGGCAGAAAAGTGGTGGGAAGCTCAGGGAGCCTGTCACCCTGCCTGAACTGCTGCAGTGGGGTCAGGCAGATCCACTGCATGGCTGGGAGTTTTGGTGCTGTGACTAGAAGGACTTGCCTGACTGCTTAGGGGGGCCTGGCACCTCCTCCCCTTCCTCCCTTCCCATGGGATCAGGATCTGGGCACAAGAGAGGGCCCCAGACTCAGCCCCAGCCCCTGTTGGTGGAGGCAAAGGGAAGCCACAGCTCCATAGCTGGGCAGTGCCCCGCAGTGGCTTGGCCATGCCTTCCTGCTGCCCCCTGCCCATGGCTTGCTCCTTACCAGCAGTTTCCCACTTTAAAGGGGAAAATCCAGGTTTTTCTTCACAAAACAGAAAACCCAGATTCCTGACTATAACATTATTTCAGAAGTTATTAAGGAACTTGTTCTATCTATTTTTGTCAAATTCTTGCTTATTCCAGTGCTGGTGCTTGCTTATCTTACTTTACTGCCCTTTGTTTTAGGTTGATAGTACAATGGAGCAGCTATTCTTAATGCTTTTGTCTCATACAACACCAAACCAGCACTTAAGAAAAATAATGTTTGGTCAGCCCATTTACTAATAGTGAAATTAATATTGTTTTTCTGATATCTGTTGAATACTATGTATATAGACTTAAACTGATGTGTACTGCTTTCATACTTTTGAAAGTGTGTATAAGAAGTCTTGCAAAACTCTAGAACTCTTGGTTCATTGGTGAACAACAAGAAAGATGTCTACACCTCCCTGCCTTTCTGCTATCTGACACCACCAGGGAAGGAATACCGCCTGATCTGCACAGCAAAGAGCAACTCACAAAGACACTCTCGTGGACCCAGAGAGACAGAGATCCATCTTCAGCTTCCTATGTGCAAAAATGAAGTTTATTTCCTACCTATGTGGACTTTTTACCATCTTTAATTTTCCCTGAGCCTGATGAAGGGTGTGAGAGCCCGAAAGCTTGCAGAAAAAGAATTATTTTGTGTGATTTCTTAGTTGGTCTAATATAATGTATCATCTCTGAACCAAGAGTTCTAGAGTTTTGCATTTCTTTTTGTCTCAGACCAACACCGGCTACCAAATGCATCCCTATAAGAAATTTAAATATTTTATGCTTTTTAGCTCTGCTTAAAAAATGTGATAGCTACTTGACTGCAGTGAGCATTGATGAGAAGCTTAGGGTTACCATATTTCCAGCATCAAAAAGAGGGGGAGGGGGCGGAGGGAGGGGGCAGAGGGAGGAACATATGAGTGTGAGGGGGGCAGTGATATAATTGTACCCTGTCTCTGCCCCTCACTTCTGACCTGCAGCCCCCTGCTCCCCAGCCCTTCCAGTGCTCCCACACTCTGAATCCGCACCCCCTGCCCCCCACCAGTCCTGCTGCCCAAGTAGCTCCTGTGTTGTGTACACACTCGCTCTCGTGCTCGTTCTCCCCCTCTCTCCCTGGCTTGCCTGGGTCCACACAGGGAGCATGTGACCCCCGACAGCCAATTGCCTTGCCCGCTGCTCCCAGTCCCAAGCAGCCAGCCTGGGAGAGCAGAGGAAGACGGGGAAAAAAACCCTGGACATTTGCTCTTATTTTAAAAACCAGCCTGGATGCAGCACAGGGAGAGAAAAAAGAGGATGTGTCCGGGAAAGCCCAGATGTATGGTAACCCTATTGTTGACTTCTTTCATTTGTTTGTCTATGATTGGAGCACATTTCCTGAATCAATCCCTTTTTATTTCCTTAAAATTCAATTAAAATGCAAACTGCAGCCCACTTCATTAGGGTAGTGCTAAGAAATGGAAGCAACTGTGAAACTGAAGCAAAAACAAATCAGTGTAATAATTCAGTGAAATAATATCACTGACTTATGTTGAATATCCATCTACTTACTGAGATGTGATCCTTTTGAGGCTGTCCAGCAGCGTGGTAAGCATTTCTGGGGCTTTTTTCAAAGCCCATAGATAGTAATGGGAGTTGTTTTGCAGGGTTGGGTTTTTTTTGGTTTTTTTTTTATTAACTTAAAGGGAATTTTAATCTAGTCCCTCCTAAAGTGCTCAGTGCCTTCAGCTCACCTTGATTAAATATTAGTTGATGGTTGTTATCATTTTGAAAAAGATCTTATTTTGTAGGATCATGCTTTAATCCCTAATGCTGCAAATATCTCTGCATTTATTGGGTCTATTTCTACCTGTATAAATTGAACAAAGGCATTCTTTTTGTATGATTGGGCCCTTAAGGTCTAAGCTCTGAGCAGATGGTATGCTTAATCAGTCTAAAAATGATTTGTCACTATTTAAGTGATAGCCCCAATAAAGTCAGGTCTGTTAGTGTACAAGTTTAGGTTTTGTTTACCAGACAAAAGAAAGAACACTTTCTCTCCTGTGGGAATGAAACATGTTTTACAAAATATATTATAACTAGAATTGTTTCCTTGTTAGAATAGTTTTTATGTTAGAAATGATGAAATGAAATAGAATGAAAAAATATTAAAAAGCAAAGATATATCCACCTAGTCTGTTTTGTGAGCTGTGTTGACCTAAAAATCATATCCCCATGAACAAAATTGAAGCTTTCTAGTTTATTTTTGTTTTCCAAGGTGATACAGGCAACATTTTAAGTTGTTTATGTGACAAGTAAAATGTTATTTAAATTTTAATTTTTTTACCTTGACTGCCTTACTGTGCCATGACATGTAAGTTGGAAATGTATATTTTGATACCGTTACTAAATTTTGTCCAGCTGGAAAAATCTTACTATTGCTAATACACATCTTATTTAAATTTTACTGTACAGGTATATTATTTGAAATAATTTTTATTTTAGTTACAATCTGGCATGTGCTTGAGTTTTTTGAGCACATAATAAATCTGCCTTCATTTCAAAGCCAGCATGCTTTGTTGGTTAGCCCTGCCGAAATGAATCTGGTGGTTGTGCCAGAGGAGAAAGCAGACCTCTTTAACAAATTCTTCACCTCCGTTTTCTTGTGCAGGGACCGGGACTCCCCCACCGTGATTCAAGACAGACTCGAGGGGAATGCCTCCAGACCTAAGGTTGAGGAGGACTGGGTTAGAGTACTTCTGGAGGGGCTGGATGTGTTCA